AGGCTCGGGTTAAACAAAGCCATCATCAAACTCAAATCACCCACTGTGCCAAACCGAAAGGCTAAACTTTGCGCTAGGCGGTGACATCATCGAAATCAAACCAGCCGTTTTGTCAAACAGATAGGTCAGACGTCGAGCTGAACAGTGGCACTATCAAACCAGGCTAAACAGTGACACCACCAAACCACCTACTGCGCCAAACAGATATACCAACCGTTGGGATAAACAGTGACATGATCAAACTTCCTGCTATATGTCAGACAAGTAGATGAACTGTTGGGCTCGACAAAAATAGTGACACCATTAAATCATCCGCTATGACAAACGCTAGAAGTAGAAATAGGACTAAGAAAGTGGCGATGGATGGGACACACCTTAAGAAAGCCCAGCGGAAACATCACAAGACAGTCACTGCAGTGGAACCCACACGGAGCACGAGGCAGGGGTAGGCCACGGGAAACATGGTGGAGATGTGTGGAAAGGGACATGAGAGAAATGGAGCTCACTTGGAACGAGCTTGGGAGGATGGCCCAGGACAGAGATAAATGGAAAGAGCTTGTATGTGGCCTATACCTTGCCAGGGGTGAAAGGCACTGATGATGATGACAAACAGAAGGGTCAACCATCAGGCTGAACAGTGACATCAACAGACTATCTGTTTTATTTCAGAAAGATGGGTCAAACCACCCGTTATGGCAGACAGACAGACCAACCATCGTGTTAAACAGATACATCATCAAACCAGGTAAACAGTGACATCAACAAACCACCCGTTATGTCAAACAGTTAGGTCAAACGTCGAGCTAAACAGTGACATTATCACACCGGGCTAAATAGTAGCATCATTAAGCCATCCGCTATGCAAGACAGATTGGTCTACCATCGGGTTAAAAAGTGACATTATCAAACATAACTAAATAGTGATGTAATCAAACCACCTGCTATGTCACACAGATCGGTCAAGTGTCGAAGTTAACAGCGACATTATCAAACAGGACTAACAGTGACATCCTCAAACCATCGGGCTGAAAACGTGACTAACCAGTGACAACATAAAACCATCCGCATGAGGAGAGTTCGATTCCCAAATATAGCAGGCCCATCATTTTCTTTCCTCCTTTTTTTCCCTTGGTGAATATTTTCCATCCCCCCCCCCAAAAAAAATAAATTTAGTAAAATAGGAGGGGTGTAGGGGTGAGGAGTGGTCTGTTGTTTTAGTAGGAGTTTTTAAATCGCAATACAAAAACCAAATTATAGTTTTTGGTGAGGGCGGAGCACTAGCGCCGGTAGTGAGAGTAGTCAGGGAAAAAGAAGTAATGGAATAATTATAAAAATAATAAACAGCATTTGCACAGCGCATGTCCCCACTCGAAAGCAAACTCTATGCGCTTTACACTATATTATTACCCCAGCAGACCGCAGAACACTCAGAAACATTCTCAGCTTTCCGGGAAGCAAACAGTGCAAGCAGCTGGTTAATCGCTCATACACTAACAAACTGACAAGATCTTTCACTGTCTATAGCTGGGTACAGATTTTCACCTGGGTGAAGTGGTGAACATTCGTGTAAAGTGCCTTTCCCAAGGACAAAACGTCGGGCCCACGGCTCTAACCCCCGAACCCGCAACCTCACGATAACGAGTTCGGTAGCCTAACCACTAGGACACCAACGCCACAGAAGAAGAAAGATAGGCGAGCTCAGAAGACACTGGGAAGTAAATACCACACATACCTCTGAATACAACAATGTGTATTATATAACTAGCTGGGTACCCCGTTCAATTAACGGACTGAAAAGAATCGTTCGTCAAGTCATTGTAGGACCAGTGCGCACTGCATGTGAACGGAAACCTCGCTTGTTTACAATGGCGTCTTAATTAAGAAGACGAACTTTCCCAAGATTAAATCTAAACAAAACTAATGAAAAACTTAAAAAATAAATTACAATAACTTCAGACTCCTGCGCTCATATGACCTTAGCAGTTGCGAGCGCCGTAAAACCCTATACTATACTATACTACTTCAGACTCCTCAATAAAACTGGGCACATCTTAAACGATTCTGAACCACGGTTAATTTATTTTTCAAATCCGAAAGCTAAGTGATTCGGAAGTTTTAGGCGACCAAAGATTGATTCGAACGTTCACAAATATAATATCAAATATATATATATATTATCATCCGCGAGCTTTTAAAATGTACTAAGCCCAAAATATTAGAAGGGGGGGGGGGGG